TTCCTTTTTCTCTCCACCCGAGGTTTTATGTGGTGGCACCCACCGGCAGTCCTCTCTCCTCCACGCGCGCACACACGCGCAAGCGACGCACTCTCTACACTCACACACACACACACACACACACACACACACACACACACACACACACACACACACACACCGATCACAGGGCCTAGGCGGCCCGCCATGATATCTAGCCGTGTGTGCTGGCGTCCGGGTCCCAGCGCGGGTTTGTCCCGTGTAACACAGTGCAAAAGTAAAGACAACGTACCGAACTAGTCACCGTGGTACCGACCAGAAGACCGAAGCCAAACCGATGGTCCACACACAAAACATCTCGGATCTAGAAATGAAGAAAGTCCTCACATGCAACTCTTGCACGGCGGCGACGGGAAGGGGCTGAAGGCTGGCTCCCCGTCAGGCGACATTCCCTCGCCCGCGTCGTCCGAGAGCATCTGGTACAGTTGCTGGTTCTGCTCGGCGTAATAGGCCCTGCGGGCGCGGAAGGGAGTCGAATGGGCGTCAGGGAGTGGCAAGGTGTCCCGAGCCGGGATGGGCACGCTACCTCAGCAGTTTGGAAGTATGGCAGCACATCGCAGGGACCTGTGCAGGGCGGACGAACGCAACTGGGAGCTGCAGGCGAACGGGGGACCAGGTGAGCCGCCGGGCTCATCGCGGCGCAGGTACCTTCCAGTCGCTGTGGTGGGCATTCGAGTGGGGGAGCTCTGGGCTGAGCCCTGTGATGCCCACGAAGGCCCCAAGTGCTGGCAACGCAGCAGCCATGCCGTCGGGGGAGAAGAGGTCGTGGAAGGCTGACACAAAGAGCTGTTTGCGTGGCCAAATGCTGCGCCACCTTTCGCAGGGCCAAGCCGTGAGTCAGTCGCCGCGCGGAGGGGGGCGCGGTGGGGCGGGGTGGCACACTCACATCTGGAGCGAAGAGAAGTACATCCCTCGTGTTAGGTGAGGGACTGAGCCGCAGCGCCGAGTGGAGTTAAACCACCCCGCCCCCTCCTCCACAGTCTCGTCGATCAGGCACTCCGCAAACTTGGCGAAGGTCGGACTGAACACCTCCGAGCCGTTGACCAACGTTATCGTGGGGCGATAAGAGCACAGTGTGCCGTCGCCCATGCTGCGCCCGTCCTACTTTGAAGAGGGAACCGGTCAACAAGAGGGCGTTGCCAGAGGGCATGCGCTGCGATCGTCCGAGTGCGCTAGCTCTCTCTTTGCTAAAGACGCCCCCGGCTGCATGACAAGCTTGGGAACCAGGTTTGAGAAGACTAAAGCCTGAGCAAAATTCACGCGGTTGTGGTTGTAGACCGAGAGGAGGCGTGAGCTCTGCTCCCGCAGGATCGCGATGAAGTGCATCGTCGGCTGCAGCGGCAAGGGCGTGAACGCCGCAAGTATGTGCGGCACCCGCGGGCAAGAGAGCATTTCCGGCGTCGAGTCGAGCTTTGTGAAGCCGTCGTCAATGAAGGATTGCGCGTAGTTGCGGCACGGCGTGCTTTTCCACATGCCCCCCTGCCGCGGATCTTTATGCTGATCCTCTTGGTAGTAGGTGAATGTATCCCGCTCCCAGGCACAGGTTGTCAAAAAGTGAGACTCGCCGTAGCCGTAGGCACCGCACGGGCAGCTAGAGTTAGCGCAGCAGTCTGCCGTGGCGAAGCCGATCGAGCCGGTCGGTCCCCGCGCTTTCTGCCACAACCATACACGCACCGACGTGGAACCTGCTTTCTGTGCCCCAAGGATGAAGATGCGCGGCCACTGCGGTCCGCCACACCGACATGTCGCCGGTGAGGGCATGTCTGCAGCAGCTGACGCCGCCAGCAAGGCGAGCCAGGAGGCGAGAGGGAGCGGCGGCCGCAAGGTCATATAGGACACGGGGCCGGCGGGATGACTCGTCGCGTAGTCTCATTCATTCATTCATTCATTCATTGCATTGCATTGTTGACCTGAAATGAGTGTATAACTGAGCACAACTTTTGCGACTCTGGGTGCTTTCCGCCGGCCGCGCCGGACACCCCCCCTCCCCTCTCCCTCTCTCGTACCTCATCCGCAACACGTCCCGCTCCAGCGGCGGCAGCTGCGTCGAGAGCACAGACTCGAGCTCGGCGCGCCTAAAAAAGAA